TTGTGTCAGATGTCTGTGCTTACGGGATATCTGCCTCATAATCTGTTTGTGCCTGGGACGCTGTGCTCCTGGCTATGCAAGTCTACTCAAGAGTGACCTCTTATCTCCTTCCAAGTTTCTGCTTTCTTGTAAAGGTTGGGGGCTTCTTCGCATCAGAGATTTTCTGACTTTGTTTCTTCTCAAGATCTTATCGTATTCCTGCATTCCTAACTCCTTACAATATGCCTGCTTTTTCCTATATAAGATGTAACCTAAGAATCAATAAACGAGACTTGATCAGAATACTGTCTTGTCTCCCATCTCTCGCGTCTCTTGTCCCATCCAATTCCCACTCCCCCCTCCAGGGTCTGCGTTGAATATCCCATGGGTCGGGACAATTTCCCTCTAAACATAGGTTCTTAATGGGGCCTTGCTTCCTTCCTTCCTTTTAAACCTTTTTAACTGACTTCCAACAAACTGACAATAGTTTTAAGCAGAACATGCCTTGTTTTTCTAATATTCAGGTAACATTGTGTTGGCACTTTTTGTACCAGTTTTGAGAATGTAGCCCACTTTCATTCAGGCCTCCCTGTGACCAGTAGCATATATTTGCAAGATTTGAGGGGGTGGTCTGTGACCATAGAACAAGTAGGTTATGTAAGATCTAAACTCATTAGTTTAGCCTCATGAGCATGATGTTTTAGCCAACTCTTTGCATTTAATTTTAAGCTTCCAGAAACCATATTATAGAATGACATAAAGTGTTAGATACAGAAAAAGATATTTGAGATCATCTACTCCAATACAAATGAGAAAACAGAGTGGAAGCAGAGACTTTCTTTGAATAGCAGAGTTGGAACTGAAGCTAAGGTTACCTGATTCCCACTCCAGTATTTCTTATTCTATTTTCTTTTAACTATCTTTGCATTATTAAGAGAAGACCACCTCCTTTCTCTTCCTCCATCTCTCAATAAATGATCTCTGAATCAGGCAAATGATCCAAGCATCATGGTGCCAACTTTCACTAATTTAGAGATGTCGGACATATATCAAAGGGTGGACCTAAAAATTTAACTTTTCACAGGCTTTTTCCTTCCTCTTTTCATTACATTTGGATAAGAAATATGACTACAATATTTAGTCCATACTTTTCTTATATCCCATGGTCTTTATCATGTTATGACTGTGTAACATTATGACTGCAGAATATTCATTCCAGTGGAGTGACAAAGAAATGGTGTTTGGACAAAATGACTTCAAAGATTCTAGTTTCAGCGTTCTGTGATTAAAGAATGTAAACATTTCCGCATTGTGGGCTTTTGGACAATTCCCAGTTTTCCACTAACAAAAATATTAATGGTTTTATACAAATATGTTTTAATTTAGTCCCAAGTGTGTCCTTAGGATAAATCCCAGAAATAGGATTGCTGGGATAAAGGGCAGGTTGACTTTTTTATGACTCTTGATGCACACTGCCAAATTGCTCTCTATAATGATTCATACTGCCTAATTGTATCACTATCAGCAATGCATAGTGTTCCTGCTTCTTGACAACCTCTCCAAAGAAGCATTGGTCTCCTTTTTTAGTATTATTAACTTAAGATAACTTAAACGAATCTAATAATTAATTCAACTTGTATTTATTTCTAGTAAGGCTGAAAATTCTTACAAGTATGGTTTACTATTTTTAGACAGTATAGTGCTAGATAGAACTGAATTAAGCCACTTAGTAGCTATTTGATGTAGGGCAAGTTACTTAACCTCTCTAAGACTCAGTTTCCTCATTAATATCACCATAATAGTACCAAATTATTAGTGTTTTTTGAGGATTCAGTGAAATAATACACATAAAGAGTCTGACATAAAGCAAAATTCAATAAATGTTAAACATTCTTACATGATTTGTGGGTGACAGCATAGTAGAATGGCGAGAACACTGGACCAGGTATTTTTTAAAAGCCAAAATTCTAGTCCTGCTTCATCCATCTATTAACTGTGAAATCTTAGGCATTCTGGGTTTCAGTCTCTCTGCTGTCAAATGAGTTACTTCAGGGATCTTTAATGGTTTTTCCAGTTCTAAAATTTTATACCAATATCTGTAGAGGATTCATAAAGCAAATGTACCTCACAGGGCCTGGTTTTCCAAAGCCTTGTAGTTTCAAACATTGACCTTGCAAAGGACAGGGAATTTCCCCCAGGGCACTGAGTCTCTGTTGCAAGATAAGAATTGTAACACAGCACCGCTGCTGGTTCTAAGACAGACAAGTTACTAATTGATATGTAAAGTTACTAAAAAGCTGCTAGAGGGAAAAGGAATGTCAGCTAAATCAAGCCTTTGTTAGTGGATCACTTAATTGCCTAACAGAATGTCATCTAACTTGTTTTTACTGAATGTTCCCAGCTTCTATTGTAAAACTTGTTAAACTGTACTTAGCAAAACCCCACCTATGTCTCTCCCTGTAACTTCTTGGTCTGGACGATAAATGCAGGAAGAGAACCCCAATTTGTGGTTAACTTCCAAAATGGAAGGAATGCCTCGTGCTTGAGGAAGTTCCAGGAGATTAACCCCTTTCTGGGGCTTTTCACTGCTCAAAACAGATGGGCTTTGAGTAATCTTTGGCGGCTCCATCACCCAGGGGAAAAGGGGTGACAAATCCATGGGAGGCAAAGCAACAAATGCTCCGTGTGAGGAGATTCTGGGTCCACGGATCAGACACCAACCTGCCAAGCCTTGGAAAGGAAAATAAAGGGTACGTCTGCCACTCATCCCGTCAAAAGGGAGGTTCCTGTTATGGGACCATGCCCTTTTTCTAAGCAAAAACAACAGATGGCCTAAATGGGTAAAAGGTGGCACCCAAGGGAAGTTAAGGTGGAGGGCTAAGCATAGAGAGGCAAGGCACGTGCACATTTGACCTTTTCAAGGATTGGCCTAAGCTTGGAAATCCCTGCCTGCTAAGCATATAAATATGATCTTTTGTGTTACAATAAACAGAACTGCCTGATAGAACCCCCGCTGCGTGTGTGTGTGTTTGTTTCCTATCTGGGAGAGCAGCGGTGTGCTCACCCATCTCTTGGAATCTCTTTTTGCCCCATGTTCCGGGAGGGAGAAAATGGCAATCCCTTTGGCCCCAACCCTCTAGGGAAAGGAAAAACCTTTTGGGATCCCGTGTGGCCGCTGGAGATACCCAACACCCATCAAGAGGGAAGTCCCTGTCGAAAGGGGAGACCTCAACAAAAGAGGCAAAGGAAAAAGAGGACATCCACTCATCCCATCAAGTGGGAAATCCCAGTAAGGGCGATCACAGAGATGGCTTTCAATTAACTGATTGCACACCTGCTGTGGTGTTGAGCTAGGGCTTTGCCCAGACGTTTTGCTTTCTTACGCTCTCAACTATCTATTCTTGCCATTATGGGTAGTTTACTGTCTAAGAGGGAAATTCAACATAGTACAGTCCTTCTATGTCTCCTTAAGGCAGTAGGGTAAAAAGTAACTAACCGTCATCTAACTAAATTATTACTGCTTATAGTGGTTTGAAAATTTTGTCAAATTGCTTTAAAAATTATTCAGAACCTTAACAAAAAGAAAAAATGTGTTTATGCCATTAAAGAGGATGAAAAGCAATCCTCGCCCCCTCTTCCTCCTCCTCTTCCTCTCCCCCACCCCCACCTTTGGAGGCAAACAATTCATTTGTTCCTGTTATGGCCAAAGTCTGATGGGTAAAAGAAATTTGCCCACAAGAACCAGGTGATAGGAAAAGGGAAAGAGTTTATTTCTGGCAGCCAGGGCTATGCAGGCCAATCGAGGAGCACAGCCCCGAGTTGAAACCTCTCTCAGCTTTTATTTTTAGCTAGGTGGGAATTTTTCACACCTGACACAATCTAGCCAATGCAAGCAAGCCAGTGGTACATAAGATAATTTTGCAGTTAGCCCTGTAGCCCCTCCCCATTTATTTTAGCAAGCAATTTGTACAGAAGCAGAATACATATGTTAAAATCAGTAGGGGTTGGGGCGTTTCTTAACATTCCCCCCTGTTGTTGTAGCTGTAGCAAATCATCGCTATCTTAGGGGTTGAATTGTCCTTCTTCATCTAAGGGAAGTTGGTCATATTGGGACCTAAGTACCAACAACTTGACAGATGTTATTTCTCAGTACCTGGCAAAAGCAGGATAGTAGGAAAAAGCAAGATTGGGGTACATTGTCCTTCCCAATGAGGGGGTAAACAGATATAGATTATTCCTTGCCCGCAAAGGAGTCTACCTTCGGGGTGATCCACACAAGTCATGTTTTCAGAACTGTTATACGACTGACTGGCATTGCATTCACCTAATAACTTCCCAATCGATATATTTCCTTGAGAAGAATTATAACATGAGAATGACAAAAAGGGAATGTGGAGGTAACCCATATGGAATGGCCTACTCTTATTTCTATCCGTGAAGTTGGTGGTTAAGTTGGCTAGCAAAGGAAGCACTGTCAGTTTTGGGGCTCTTGCACTTATGCACATCCAGCAACCTTGGGCAAATGATGAGAAGCTGGATTGAGACTTATTTAATAAGTTCCAAGTTTCATTTATAAAAGTTTGGACCCGTTAAATGGGTTCTTATCTAGCTCTATAGCTGTAATGGTTAGATTCAAAGGCGAGTATGGGAAGGGCTGGACTCGTATTTGGTCCACAGAAGGCCGCCTGGGGTCTACAATAATGGTGTTCTCTCCCATGGTAACCTTATATTGTGTGGGGGGGGTTGGAGACACACATAACACCCTCTACTTAGGCGGCTTTGGCCCAAGTAAGGTGTCCCAGCACCACATGCGGTTTTAGAATTTATGCCGACTAAATGGTGGTGGGGCGGATCAGTGCAGTCATATGTGACATCAACGCATGTGGGGCTAACATAAGAAACGGCTTTTTCACCTTTTGGACAACAAGTTGTTGTGCAGCCCCCAAGTCATTTTCGGACGGGACTGCTAGATAATTTTTATGCACAAGACTAAGATAAGGAGTTGAATTTTAAAAAGCATGTCAAAGTCTTTTTAGTCTTATCTTAGTTGGGCCGTCTGTGGTCTGGACGGTCCAGCAGACGGTGTTGGGGTTTGACTTCAGTGCCTGTTTGACATGAGTCCAATGTATCCAAGCGTCCTTTCCAGCAACATTTACAGCTGTGGGCATGCTGAGGATCACCGGGTATGGTCCAGTCCAGCGGGGCTGGAGGGACAAGGCAGTTAACTTCTTTATGTACACCAAGTCCCCAGGTTGAGGGATGGGTCCGGGTGGCTCCTGCTTTGGAAGGGAAGCGTTAGCATTTAGTTTGTTTCTGATTTGTGAACAAATCGGTTGTAGGGTTTGAAGTTCCCCCAAAATCGGGGCAGGCAGTTTTTGGGAGTCAGCCTCCATTGGCACCCTGGGTAATAGGAGCGGGGGGCAACCAAAAAGAATTTCATAAGGTGTGTATCCCTGTTTATATGGAGAATTTCGTACCCTTAATAGTGCAAAGGGAAGGAGGTCTACCCAGTTTTCGCCAGTTTCTAAATGAGGCTTAGTCAAGGTTTCTTTTAAAGTTCTGTTCATGAGCTCAACCTGTCCTGAACTTTGAGGGCGGGAGGTGCAATGTAACTTTCATTCTATTCCCAAGCATGTGGCCAACTGTTGGGATATTTGTGCCATAAAGGCAGGTCCATTATCTGACCCGAGGGTTGCAGGTAGCCCAAGCCGGGGTATAATTTCATTGATTAATTTTTTTACTATTATACAGGCGGTTTCAGACTCGGTAGGAAACTCCTCGACCCATCTAGAATATGTGTCTACTACTACAAGTAGGTATTTGTATCCATACCTTTCAGGTGTAACTTCAGTGAAATCAGCTTCCCAATGTTCTCCTGGAGTATTACCTGTTTGTGGAGCTCCAGACCATATCGATGAGTGACGTGTTTAGAGTTTACTTGAGTACATGCAAGGCAACGGTTAGTTAATGATTCAACAATTTTTGATGCGTTATTAAAATGAAATGATTGTCTAATTAATTTTAATAGCTTTGTTTTCCCTAAATGGGTGGCTTGGTGAATTCCATGAGCCGAGCGTTGACCCATTTTTTCTGGTAGCCATATGGCTTTGTCCTTTGATTCATACCACCCAGTGGTTATGCTTTTTTTTCGTATCCCAATGTTTCAGCCTTTTCTCATCTTCTGGAGAGTACTCAGGTTTTAGTGGCAAATGGGGTTGTGGTATCAATGGTGCTATGATTGATGTCCGGTTGGTTGGAGTGCCACTGTTTTAACAGTCTAATCGGCGAAGTTATTTCCTTGAGTTTCTACAGTTGTTCCCTTTTGGTGTGCCTTGCAATGAATAACTGCAACCTTGGTTGGAAGCCAAATAGCTACAAATAGTGCCAGAATTTCAGCAACATTTTTAATTGTCTTTCCTTCTGAAGTGAGTAACCCTCTTTCTTTGTAGAGGGCCCCATGTACATGTACAGTAGCAAAGGCATATCTACTGTCAGTGTAGATATTTACAGTCTTACCTTCACTAAGCTGAAGGGCCTTTGTGAGAGCGATAAGTTCTGCCCACTGGGCTGAGATCTCAGACCTGGGAGCTTCTGCCCATAGTACTCATTCAGGAGTAACCACCATGGCACCTGCATACCTGACTCTGTCAACCATGTAGCTGTTGCCATCTGCGAAAAGAGTTCGCTAAGCCTTCTTGAGAGGAGTGTCTTGCAAACCTGGCCGGGTGCCCTGGAAGGCAGCTAAGATTTCAAGGCAATCGCGTGTGACTTTGCAGTGGCCAGGGTCACTCTCAGGGAGCAAGGTGGCTGGATTTAGGGCAACCAGGTTGGAGAATGTAATATGTTCGGGTCCATGCAGTTGGGTCTGGTAATGAGTTAACCTTGCATCTGAAATCCATTTTCTTGGTGGGGCTTTTAGTATAGTCTCTACCCCAGGAGAGGTAACAATATTTAGGGGCTGGCCCAACATTAACTTATTAGTTTCTTTTACTAGGAGTGCAGTTGCAGCTGTAGCTCGTAAGCATGTGGGCCAGCCGGTGGCCACTAGGTCCAGCTTGTGTGACAGGTAAGCCACCGGTCATTTCCATGGCCCTAGATCTTGGGTTAGCACCCCCTTTGCGATGCCGTTGTTTTCGGCCACAAATAAGGTAAAAGGCTTTTCTAGATTGGGCAGTGCCAGGGTTGGGGCCTGCATAAGAGCGGACTTTATGTTGTTGAATGCCAATTGGAGTCTCTCAGTCCAAGTAATTTGATCCCCTGGTCCCTTAGTAGCCTCATAGAGGGGCTGGGCCATTTCAGCAAAGTTGAGAATCCATGAGCGACAGTATCCAGTGGCTCCTAGGAATTCTCGAATTTGCCTTTTAGTCTTTGGCTCTGGTATATTTCGGATGGCCATTATGCGGTCAGGGGACAATTTCCTTTCCCCTGCGCTTAAGATATATCCCAAATATGTCACCATCAGGGAGCAAAGGCCTTTTTAGTGGATACCCGGTATCCTAGGTATTGTAAGGTCTTTAATAAATTCCCTGTGGCTTGTTTACAAATCTCCAGGGTGGGTGCAGCCAATAGCAAATCATCAACATATTGTAACAGTTTTATATTTGATCCCCATTTTACCTTGAAATCTTGGAGGTCTCGGCTCAGCGCTTCATCAAAGAGTGGAAGTGATTTTTTAAACCTTTGGGGCAGTCAAGTCCATGTTAGTTGACCAGAGTAGCTTCCATCTGGGGCTTCCCATTCGAAGGCGAACAGAGGCTGGCTGATTTTGGCTAAGAGCAGACTGAAGAAGACATCCTTTACATCCAACAATGTATAAACCTGATGGAGGGGATTAACCAGGCTCAACAAAGTATAGGGATTTGGTACAGTTGCGTGGACAGTTTCCACCCTCTTATTGACTTCCCGGAGGTCCTGGACAGGCCTGTAGTCATTTGTCCCTGGCTTTTGAACCAGTAACAGGGGAGTATTCCAGCTAGACTTTCAAGGCAGCTGTTTTAATTTATTGATGTGAGGTTCTATCCCTTGTCGTGCCTTTAATGGAAGAGAGTATTGTTTTACTCAGATGGGGGTGGCAGTTGCCATGAGCTGGACCACTATTGGAGGTTGGTGTCTTGCTAGCTCAGGGGGATTAGATTCAGCCCAGACCTGGGGCACAAGTTTCATGTAATAAGCTAGCAATTCTTGGTGGTTGGAGGTTTTATCCTTTTGCAATTGTTCTGGCAAGAGCTTATATTCTTTGGACAAAGGCAGTGCCACCAAAAGGGTGGCAGGTTGCTCCAAGCTTAGTGGAGTAAATCTCTGCCCAGTAAAAGAACTGGGCAGTCAGGCATTAAAATGAACGAATGAGTGACTGTGTTCTTACCTAAGTTGGTGAGTCACCTTTCTGTCCATGAACAAAATTTAGTTTTTCCTGTGGCCCCTTGAATGGCAATGGGGGGCTTATTACTAGGCAATTCTGGTTTTTTTCAGTACAGAGTAGGTAGCCCCCATATCCACCAGAAATGATACTGGTTTGCACCCTACTTGAAGAGTTAGCCTGGGTCCCTGGGGGCTAAGGGGCATGGAACCCTGACCCCATCAGCCTTCTGTGTCTTCACCCAGATGAAGCACAGTATTAGTCTTTTCAGGCTTTTCCTGTAACCAGGGGCAAGCCTTTTTCCAATGATTATAGTAGGCACATTGGTCTTTATCCAATGGTGGGCGTTTTTTTGCCTCCGTGTTGACTGCTCCTTTAGGGGCCTGAGGTTTCTTGGGTTGGCCTTGTGTGGCCAGCAGAACCTTAGTTAGTCTTTTAAGCTGCTTATCTTCAGGTGGGTCGCGACTTGTAAAAACCTTTTGGGCTATTTCTACCAACTCTGAAAGAACCTTTCCCTCAAATCCCTCTAATCTCTGCAACTTCCGTTTTATATCGGGTGCAGACTGAGTTACAAAGGCCAAATTAATTGCCCTTCGATTTTCAGGTGCTTCCAGGTCTATGGGTGTATACCTCCGGTTCGCCTCTAGGAGGCGCTCTAAGAATGCACTTGGAGATTCGGTGGGCTATTGGGTTACTTCACTAACCTTAGACAGGTTTGTGGGTTTTCGGGCTGCAGCTCGAACCCCTCGTAACAGGACCTGGCGAAACCGATCGAGAGCCTCCTTACCTCTATTACTATTTGGGTCCCAGTTGGGGCGGCCGGTGGGGAAAACAGCAGGCAATCGCTCAGAGTCATCCGTGGGGAGACCATTGGGGCCCAGGACAGCCCGTTGGGCCTCTCGGCAAATTTGTTCACATTCCTCAGAAGTGAACAGAGTCTGTAACAATTGTTGGCAATCATCCCAGGTGGGCTGGTGAGTATAAAAGACAGACTCAAGCAGAGAAATGAGGCCATGTGGATCCGTGGAAAAGGAAGCGTTCTGGTTTTTTCCAGTTGTAGAGATCACTGGTGGTAAAGGGAACATATACCATAAAAGGGCCATTTACCCCTGTGGCTTCATGCAAGGGGAAAAGTCCAGGAGGGGAACCAGTTGAGGACAGTGAAGAAGGGGAAGCAGAGGAAGGAGACACTGGTGGGGCGGGACTCTGGAGATGATAAGAGGCCCCAGAGTGGGTGTGTGGGGTTGAGATAAGTGGGTTAGACACTTGGGTGGGGTCCTTTGCGTAAGGTGGAGGGTGGCAGATCAGGTCCAACTCCTCTGGAGAGGTTGATAAAACTTGCTTAGGGGTAGAATCAGGGTGCACCATGGTCAGGAGAATGGCGGCGGTCTCTCAGTGGTGAGCATTTTTCTTTAACTCTGGAAAACATCTTTTTAACCAAGGAGGAGGGTCCAAATGAGAATATAAGGTATCTGATCGGGGTGTCCGGGTTTTCCGAAGATGACCCGTCTGACAGCCTGAGCTAAGGGGGGCTAAGAGAGCCCTCTGATGGCCAGTGACACTGAAGGCTGGCCAATCAATCTCAGAAAGGACTCGCAAGACTTCAGGGTCCATGGAGGCCCCAAAGTCTGTAGCCTTCTCTCAGAAGGTGTTAACGTTCATGAGAAAACATTGGAGGACAGTTGGTCTGGAGGATCCTTGTCCCACGATGTCCTGTGGAGCTGAAATGGCCAAGCTACACTTATAGCAGACAACACAAAATGAAACTAGACGAGCAAAAAAACTTAAGCACAGACCAAAATTAACAAACAATACACATATAATAAAAGATTTTAAAATCAAAATGAAAGTCCCAACGACCTAAAAAATGCCCCAACGGATCAGAACGATGTCTCGTTTGATCCAGGGAAAGAGGTGTCTATGGCTGCATCCAGCCTAGCTTTTTTCCCAATCAAGGAGTCGACTCACCAAATTCGATGGCGCCTGCCGTGGGTTTGTCTCTCTGGGGCTGAAGAACGTCTTTTCAGGAATTCCCCCCTAGAGATCCAAAAAGTCCCAGGTCCAAAAGGACAGTTCTCAAGAGGCTTAAGGGATCCAGGATGAGCCCCCAAATGTTATGGCCAACGCCCGACAGGTAAAAGAAATTTGCCCATGAGAACCAGGTGATAGGAAAAGGAAAAGAGTTTATTTCTGGCAGCCAGGGCTACGCAGGCCAATCGAGGAGCGCAGCCCCAAGTTGAAACCTCACGCAGCTTCTACTTTTAGCCAGGCAGGAATTTTTTGCCCCTGACACAATCTAGACAATGGAAGCAAGCCAGTGATACATAAGCTAATTTTGTGGTTAGCCCTGTAGCCCTTCCACATTTATTTTAGCAAGTGATTTGTACAGAAGCAGAATGCATATGTTAAGGTCAGTAGGGGTTGGGGCGTCCCTTAACAGTCAATACTGAAGGTGTTATAGATATGTGTTCCAAAATCTTGCAAGGTTCTTAAATATCTGTGTCTTAATACAAATGTACCGGTCATAATCTTGGTTTAATTATAATTTGAAAATGTTATGTTTTCAAATATTTCATTAAAAAACTCTGATAGGTACAATTTCCTGACAAAACTTTGAGTTCATAGCTTTAAACTAAGTTTCCAGAATTCTAATTTAAAAAATTGATGGGTTTGTGAAATTGTTCACTAAGGTCAAGGCAACAAAAGTTAATTGGTAAATTAATTAAAAAGAATTATGGGTTTTTACAATTTCCTTATTTTAAAACACTACTGGTTCTCCTAATGTTTTCCAAATGTAAGAAAACTCTCTCTCTCTTAAGCTATATATAACTAACAACAGTTTGGTAATATGTCATTTAAAAAGAATAAAAGCATTTGTTTTCTCCCTATTTGATCCCCCCCAAATTTAATAACTTTAAGTATCCCTATGATTATGATGGCAATGTGGCTATTTTTGTAAGTTCAATGAAAATTAACTCTCTCTCTTTATAACAGGATATAATTTAAAACTTTGTATATAAGATAGCATGTCTCATTTCCAATTTGCTAATCCCTCTTTCATGTTGCCTAAATTTGGCATTGCTGCTGCTTCATTCTGCTGTTCATCTTTCCCCCCAATGTGGGACACAGACCATCTGGGAAAGGACCTTCCCTGCCCGCTAGCTCAGTTGGTAGAGTGTGGGACTCTTAATCCCAGCAACGTGGGACAGATCACTGAAAGAAGGTGAGCTGAAATGCTTCTTTCTATCATTACCTGGGAAAGCGCCTTCCCAACACTGAGAAATTTATACAAAAGAAAGTAAGACCTTTTAAATGAAGATATTGATCATCAATGCTTTTATGAGGAATGCCTTGATCATTCAAGGGGAAATAACATCTTCTCTACCAAAGCAGTTCTCTAAATTTTCCTGGCCTTAAAGAGGATGTTTGTAACTTGGATGAGACATCCTATTCTTAAGCAAAGGATTTGTAATTGATCAAATATTTTACATAAGACTGGATGCTCTGAAAACAGTAATGTCCTGGACAGATTAACATTAACAAACTCTGGACTCAGAATCAACTGTTTTGTGCACATTTCCGGAGTTCCAACAATTGGTAATTACACCTAATTCACAGCACCTGGATTGATGCCACTGCAGCCGCCCTGAAAGATGATGACATCATGCGTCCTCACCTAAATTAAAAGGACTTGCCATGCTAATGATACCAATTTTGCTTTAAATGCTTCTGTCTTAACTGTGCAAACCTGATGTATAGCTCTTGCTTTTTCTTTTAAATAAATAAATGGGGGGAGTTGTAGAGGATTCATAAAGCAAATGTACCTCACAGGGCCTGGTTTTCCAAAGCCTTGCAGTTTCAAATATTGACCTTGCAAAGGACAGGGAATTTCCCCCAGGGCATTGAGTCTCTGTTGCAAGATAAGAATTGTAACACAGCACAGCTGCTGATTCTAAGACAGACAAGTTACTAATTGATATGTGAAGTTACTAAAAAGCTGTTAGAAGGAAAAGGAATGTTGGCTAAATCAAGCCTTTGTTAGTGGATCACTTAATTGCCTAACAGAATGTCATCTAACTTGTTTTTACTGAATGTTCCCAGCTTCTATTGTAAAACTTGTTAAACTGTACTTAGCAAAACCCCACCTATGTCTCTTTCTGTAACTTCTTCGTCTGGACAATGAATGCAGGAAGAGAACCCCAATTTGTGCTTAATTCCCAAAATGGAAGGAATGCCTCGTGCTTGAGGAAGTTCCGGGAGATTAACCCCTTTCTGGGGCTTTTCACTGCTCAAAACAGATGGGCTTTGAGTAATCTTTGGCGGCTCCGTCACCCAAGGGAAAAGGGGTGACAAATCCATGGGAGGCAAAGCAACAAATATCATTTAACATTGTAGGACAACCCTATACATTTTTGCAAGTTCTTTATGTACATAAGATGTGAAACTTTCACCCATTATTTATCATTAATAACTTCACCATTCTATAACTAGAAAAATCTTCTGGCTTTCCCTTGATCAAACCTGGCATCTTAAGCCTCCCCACTGGGCAACTGTTAATTCCATGGGAGAAAACAGATTTCTGCAAACAGAGAGAGAACTCTGTGGGGACCTGACATGAACCAAGTTGAAAAGCTGCAATCTAACAGCATATGGCATTTTGATGTATCTATGAACTGCTGTCATCCTTGTAAACTAATATATTTCTGGTATTTCTACATCCTTCATTAGATGGGACTTTGCTTACTATTCCATCTGCTAGACACCTCTGACGTGTTCATCCTAGTGCAGGAAAATAAGGCACAAAGAAAGTTAATTTTTTGCTCAGGGTAACATGGAGTCAGATTGGAACTTACAGTTATGTGGACTTGGGTTTGTTACTTAAGCCACACCAGAAACCTTTTAAGTCGTGCCATCAACAGCTGCCCAATACTGGATTCCCTCCAATATGGAACAGTTTGCTATTGTGACTACCACTATGTTCTTGTTCAGAATGCTCCCCTCCTCCTTTCTACAAGCTTGTAAATCTTGCCTCTTCATTACAGACTTTTCTGACCATCCCATTATTATTATATATTTTTTTTTTAAAAATGACCGGTAAGGGGATCTCAACCCTTGGCTTGGTGTTGTCAGCACCATGCTCAGCCAGTGAGCAAACTGGCCATCCCTATATGGGATCCGAACCCGTGGCCTTGGTGTTATCAGCACCGCACTCTACCGAGTGAGCCACGGGCCAGCCCTCTGACCACCCCATTATTGAAGAAATATTTCCTGTAGCACTCTGTCTCACTCGCTTGACACTTAACTAGCAGTTGTATATAGTGTATGCTATTTCTGCAAATGTGTGTATTTCCTGTTATAATCATCCTGGGTTTTTTTCATTACAGTACAGATTGTAAATGTTCAAGAATTGTGGGAAGATGGTGGATTATCTAAACCTAGGTTGCATTTATCCAAAAGAAGAAGACCAGACCAGGCCCACTGCTACCAGTGCTGTATTCACCAGTGACATTGTCAAGACCCAGGACCATCACCCGCCTTTGCACTGTGAGTTTCACCCCACCCCATGCTGCTGTTGCCTGCAACATAGCTCCAACTGCTGCTGCTGCTGGCATCCAAACCACTGCCAAAGCTCTGACCACACCAGCCACACACAGGATCCCTGCCCATACTGCTGCACCAGTCAGTCCAGTTGTGTGTGTTACCTCTGCCAGAGCTGCCTGCAGTGCAATGGCCATCACTACCAGCTGTCCATGCTGCCTCACCAGCCAGACCAGCCACACATGGGACCCTCACCCAAGCTGCCTCAACAGCCATCTCAGCTACTTGCAGGATGCCCTGCCATAATTGCATGCAGTGTGACTGCCACCACCATAGCCATCACACTAGCCAGACCAGCAGGGTGTGGGACCCCCTGCCACCACTGCCTTCAGTGCAGCAGTCATTGCCAGGGGCTTCCCAGCTATGAGTAGGACCTCTACCACACCTGCCTGCAATGTGGTAACCATCATCAGTGGCTGCCCACACCACCATGCCAATAAAACTAGCCACTCATGAGATCCCCCCGCA